ACTCTTGTGGAGAAAGGCTTAGAGTCTAGGGGCCAGAGGGGGCCAGGCCTGACAAATCAACTCATGCAGTTCCCTCACTTAACAGAGGAAGAAATTGGAGCCTGAGGGAGGCAGAGATATTTGGCCATCTTATAAGCTAATTAGCAGCAGAACCAGGCTCCAGGCTCCTGATTAAATGGTACAGGTTTTTTGTTGTTGTTCTCTCTGCCACACTCGGAGTGAGAGATGTGTGAAAAATTTCAGGAAGCTGTTCCTTCAGCTAAGTGTCTGGACACAGGGCAGATGGAAGCATAAGGTCCAAAGCAAACAAGAAACCAATAAGGACACAGGAAAAAGAATTTGGATCCAAGTTCAAAAGAGGCATGGTATGCTTACGGTGGTAGAAGAAGAGTGAGTCAAATGGAATGGCAGAATGAAATCACATGTGAGCCACATACAGATCATTTCATCTCCCTTCCTGACTGAGGCCACTGTGAGCAGAGGCTGAGGCACTTTATCCAAAACCCATGGCTACATGCATCCATAGGAAGACCAGTCCCTCTGTGGCAGGTGCATGCAAGTATGTGCACCCCAGTGCCCACATGCAACCACATTTGTGCCTATAAAGATACTCCAGCTATGGAATCATTTTCTCAAGAAGGGAGGAGAGTGATCTAGGCATGGTGGTGCATGCCTGTAATCCCAGCACTTGAGAAACTGAGGCAGGAGGATCACAAGTTCAAGGCTAGTCTAGGCTACATAGTGAGTTCCAGGCGAAATTAGGCTACAGAGTGAGACTTTGTCTCAGAAAGGGGAGAAAGAAGAGAAAGGGGAGAGAAAATGTTTCTTCGGGTTGTCTGCCAAGGCTGAGAAATGAAAGGGGTCAGACAAGATAAAATTGGATATTTAAAAACACAGAAGGCATGCTGTGTTTCTAAACGGTACCAGCATGGTGTACATGTTGCAGATTAGCAATGTGTGCAAGTTCAAATCCACTCAGCTTTCCAATTATGTATTTACATGCCAACTAAAGCTCTCTGCCCCAGTAAAAACTGCTTAGCATCTTCTGATGGAGGCCACACACAGTCACCATCACCATCCATGGGGAGCATCCAGAGGTGCCCCCCCCACTCCTCCCCCCACTGTGCTGTGCACAGCACCCATCCGAAACCAGCAGTGTTTCATTTGGTTCTTCATTGCCAAAATAAAACAAAACAAACAAAAATTCTCTGTCTCATGCCGAATTCTAGAACTGATTCATCTCTTTTCTTTGGATTCAGTTCCTCCAGCCCTTTACTCAAAGCTGTAGAGCTTTTATTAGCATGAAGGAAGCAAAAAATGGAAATTTTAAGGCCAGGTCTTTCTTGGACCCTGTTCTCTCAAAGGCTAAGATATCAAAGGGTCAGGTGCCTCTGCTCACAGGCCTTCTGCCAGACGCCTGACTCTAACCCTTTCTCCCTCCATATCCTTGACCTTTCTGTTTCCCTTACTAACTTGAGTCTTCCCACTCCTTCCACAATCACTGTACAGGAAGCAGCAAGTTCAAACCTGGGCAAAAGGAGAGGCCACCAGTCCTTCCTTGTGTCCCCTATTGTCAACAAGGTCACAGAGGGGGGACACCAGCTCCCTTAGGGTCCAGCATAGGAGGGTCCCCAGGAAGCAGAGGGAGCAGTGACTCAGATCTGATGGGCTACTCACTGTGATATAAACACAGTGGACTGATACACACCCATGTCTTTCTTTCTATCTTGAGCAAACCACTTCCCTTCATTTGATTGCGGAAAGTATAATGTCTCTTACCCTTTATCCCACCATCTGTGGAGTGTTCTTAACTGGCTTTAACTTTTGACCTTACCAAATAGAAGATATGGAGGGTTCAGGGTTGCCAAATGGTGGGGTTCACAGTTTATAGAGAAGAAAAAACTGCATTCTTGACCGCCTCTAAGTTTGTATGCTACTCTTGGCTGTTCTCAAGCCATTCTGTAAACTCACCCTAAGATCACATCACTGGTCAGCGACTCTACTTCCATTCAGCCAATGATGGGAAACCTGGTCACCATGACTCCTAGCCACTAGCATGAATCGAAAGAGCTAAGAGTCAACCAAGGAAACCACAGACTTGATGACTATGGATCTGCACAGGGATCTTTGAGCCTCCATTTCCTCATCAGTGAAGTGGGAATTATAATACTTGCCATCTGAGTGTGGCAGACACAATTGTGTTCACAGTCTATGGCCCGTGGGTGTTCAAATACACGAGTTTCTCATTTTTCTTGTCCCAGCCAAGTTTGTGCCACACCTGTAGGTCAAGAGCTGAAGCCTCTAGTTCCCCTGTGCAAGACAGAATGGTGGTTCAGGAAGACTGGCCACGGGCAGGTTTACAGGGTCCTCTGGTTGTTAGAGCTATGAAGGCACAATTTAGAAATGACAGTTGGCCGGTAGTTTTTCCCTCCACTCTAATCCAAGGAAACCAAGAGAAACTCACATATACTTGCTCTAGTTAGTTTTTAATGGAGAACACACAAAAAAGCATGAGGTCCATATGGCATTTATTGATTTGGGCCATCTGGTAAGCCAGGGCTGGTGCCTACCATGTTAGGTCAGAAGCTACTCCAAAAAGCATTTCCTCCCATAAGGGACACCCTGGTCAGCTGGGGACAGAGATGGATTTCATTACAGGCTGGGGACTACAGTGAGAGGAAGCCAGAGCAGGACTCTAAGAGGCTGTCTACAACGCTGACCCTACAACAAAGAGCAGAGAGAGCCAGGAAAGTGTTGATTGACAGAGGGGGATTGGGGGAGAAGGTGTGCCTCACCAGGTCACTCACTCACAGAATGGGAAAGGGTCTAAGGAACTAACAAAAACAGCTGTGGAGCACTTCAGAATTATAAAATGTCTTGTAAGCCTGTGTGTCTGCAACTGGAGGAAGAGGGAGCGTCAAGTTCAAACTAGTGTGTGAGGTCCACCGGCCCCTGGAAGACACGCCTACTTCCTTTAGAATCATTTAAGTTTTTTTCTCTCTTGCTTAGCTTGGTGAGGTATTTTCTTTTCAAGGCTTCTTGCTCTATTTGCTCTCAGCCCAGAGGCAAAATATATGTTCCTTCCAAAACTTTTTGCAAATATCATTTATTGTTTTAAGTTGGAGTGGCATGAGAAATTAAAGCTTTTTTGGTGTTTCTTAAAGAGCCCCAAACAGAGATAGGACCACAGGAGAAGGGTATTATTAAGGGAGAAAGGGGGGAAATGGGGGCACCTTAAATGGGAAAACCATGATGGAGGAGTGAGACAATGTGAGAGATAAATAATGCCTAGCTAGTTTTAAAAGCCAGAGGGAACCATATTACTCCAACAACCTACTGACAAATTATACATAGCAGATCAAGAAATATATGTCTAGGTAAGGTTTATCTGAGAATAATTGGTCTTTGCCCAAGATTTTTCTACATGACACACAGTAATTAAAAGTACCAGACTGGTGGAACTAACCTTCTTGGATGTTTAACAGACATATTTTGAGGCCTATAATAATTTGGTCAGAGGGACATAAAGGACAGTTTTTGCTCCTAGCCCTCCTAGGTCGACTAGTTCCAGGGGACTGTGAGCATCTCTCAAAATGTCCTGTAATTGTGGTGGGTCACCTGTCCTCTTGATCAAGGAAGCTGAGGAGACCCCACAAGATGGACTTGAACCAGTGTCCAGTCTACAAAGAGGAGGGTCAACACAGAAGAATCATTTCCTCCATGCTTCCAAGCGAAGCCAACCATGGTCAAGCAGGACCTTTGACTTATCTTCACATAAATGGAATTGGTAAAAGAAAGGAGCCAGGGGCTCCTCCCAAGCCCATGTGACCCCTGAAGAACAGATCCTCAAACAACCTTAAGAGTAAAAATAAATTGGTTTATCTGGGCCAACTCTATGCCTTAAACACCCAAAAGGAAAGTATAACCAAAGATTAAAGGGACCGATATAATTTTTTAAGAGTCCATATGTATAGCTAAAGGCTATGTAACAACCAACAATGCCAGATAAGCAATACCTTCTTTTGAGTTGTTGGCCAAGGTGGCCAAAGGGACTCCCAGGTAGTAACCCAGCATAGAACTGGGAAAATGAACAGCAGACCCCAGTCTTATCTAAAGGAATATTGACAACTGATTGCTGCTAGATGAGGAACAGCTGATTTTCCTTAAACAAGGATCTCTAGATAGGCTGGCTAGATTTGCCATATGGTCAAGTACTAGGGAATGAT